ACACTTAGAGCAGAACCGCTGGTAGAGGTCAAGATGGTTTGGAAAGGTACACAGATGAACTTTTTTTTTTTAATTTTAATAGGTGACTAGTTTTATGTGCATCAAGGAAAAATATAAGTAGTGCATTAGCCCTGTGTGATTTGGTCTTTGGTTCCCTCACTGACCTTGTCCCCCTATTCTCCGTCACGTACCCCATTCCTCATCATTTCTCTAACACACAAGGTGCCCCAGGACCTTTGCACTTGCTGTCCTCTCTGCCTGAGACACTCTTCCTCACCCCAAAATGATCACTGATATTTTCTTAAAAACCCTCACATATGTCTTTCCTCTTTCCCTCTCCTGCCTCCACGCCCCCTTCCCACCAGCACCATCACACGGAAACATCGTTTTATGAACACGGCTGCACACGACGCCTCTTGGACCGTAACGGTATTTTCCTTTTACAGTCCTGTGCGGTCCAGTGCTCTGCAGGTTCTACGGAGCCCCCAGTTGCTGGCAGGTGGCCCATTAACTCACTGGCATCTCCCTGTTCACTGTTTGATTAAAATGTGCTCTACGAAGCCAGCGTGTTTCTTTTTCACCTCCTCTGGGGAGGGGTGCGGCTCCAAGGCCGTGTCCCCATTGCCGACCAGGTCCCTATGATGATAGGGAACGTCATCTGTGGTTACATGGGTGCAGTACTAAGCGCTGACCCCTAACCTGGGCGGCCAGCGTGGGCACCTCCAGCTATGACCAGAAATGCATTTGATGACATCATTAAGCAGGAAATTCAGCTTTTCCACCCACCCCTCATCCTGTGATGTCCAGCAGGTAAATGAGCAGATTCCCTTGCTCCAGCCTGGAGAACGCCCCACTTCCTGGCTGTGGCATGGTCCCCCCATGGCTCCCCAGCCTTCCCGCCCTGTGCTCCCGGGTCACTTCCTCTCTTCAGAGGACAGACGCAGGACACCCGATCGACTGCACTTTCTCCCCTGCCCCACTCACCAAATATAGCAATACCAGCTGAACTGATTGAGTGCTTGATGTGCCCAGCATTTTCTTCCTTCTGTGAGTTCATTCTCCTTGATCCTGGCCATGACCCAGCGAGGAGAGTTAGTATTACCAGACACATCTCCACAGGACAGTTGAGGACGCTGAAGCACCAAGCAGTGAAGGGCATTGCCTGGTCACACAGCTTGAGTCTCGCACCAGAAGCTCCCCCTTTATCAGGATCCTTCAAGGGACTGTGGTGGAGCATAGAGAGGGGCCCAGGGCAGGGCAAAAGGGTTCTGATAAAGGGAAGCAGAAGAGGAGCAGTTAACGCAGCCGGGAGCCGGAGCGGGAAATCACGTGTTCCAGCAGCTGGGGGTCTGTGAGTCCCTGAGCCTCCCGAAACTGGGGGAAAACTATGTGTGTGCAGGTGCATTTGTCACAGCCTCAGAGGCGTCTGTGATTCAGAGGAGAATGGCTGCTGGGCCAGATGATCCTCCAAGGTCCCTTCCAGCTCCCAAGCTCGTGGTTCTGTGACCATATAAGGTCGCTGTGCCTGGGGAGTCTCACTGCAGCTGAGTGCAGTCCTGCCTGAGAGGGGGAAGGCAAGAGCAAAGGGAGCTCAGGCCCGGGCCTCCTGCAGGGTCCCGACAGCAAAGAGGAGCCAAGATCAGGGAGGCCGGGTTCTCTCCTGGGTGCCTCTCCCCAGAAAGCTCAGACCCTCCTGGGTGGACCTGGTGCCACTCTCCCTCCTCCTCCCCATCTCCACTTGAGATTTCCCTCGTTCCGTTGCCAGGTTTCCCTAGTCCAGCCGGTGGCTCCAGTCCAGAGTCGGACACTCAGGCCTGTCGAGTCAGCCTTGGCTGCCCCTCGTGTTTCTTCTGGTTTGGTGGCTTGGAACACCTCTCAGAGCCCCTGAGTTCTGTGTGGGCATCATGCTTGGCCTCGCTTTGCTACCCTGGCTCTGCGGGCATCAAAAGCGGGTGGACTCCCACTGTGACCCACACGTGCACACACACGTGTCTGCCTCCTTAGTGAGCTCCTTGGAGAGGGGTGGTCCCGTGCATCTGTGTACTCCTGGCTCAGGTAGAGTGTCCCGCCTTCTGAGTGCTGCCCATAGCCAGCCTGTGCCAGGTGGTATAGGGAGGGGGAGCCGAGGCGTGATCACCTGACCTCCAAGGCCTGATGGGCTGGTGGTAACGTTGGAACATTGATAAACAAGTCTACCCAGCGATGACCTCTGACTGCTGTTGTCATCAAGGTTCAAAACATGTTTCAGTCTTAACCCTATTGGTTGTAAGCAATAGAAACCCAAGTCAAATCAACGTACACAAAAATAAGGACTAGTTTGGCTCACATCGCTCCAAAGTGTAGAGACAGTGTCAGCTTCAGGCATGGCTGAATCCAGTGGCCCACATGATGTCTCCGGGACTTGACTTTGCGCCGCGTCACTCAACCGTGTAGGCAAAGATGCGTTTATCTGGGGCTGCGGCACTGCGAGATGCCACTGGCTACAGCTACGGTGTCCCGTGCCGCGTCACGCCTGCTCGCCCGATCCTGGCCTTGTCTTATTCAGGACGGCCCAGCCCCAGGCGGTCACAAGAGACCAGGCTTCCCTGGGCTGTTTTTCCAACCTCAAACCAGACACCACCTTTCCTCGCCTCACAGCCCTTGGGCTGACGTTGTAGGAAGTGTTCCGAGGCTCACTTTGTGCGTGAGACCTCTGCACTCTCGGGGAACCTGGATATGGAGGCCCAGGGCAAAAGCAGCAGCCCCGCCTCCCAGCATTGGTGGGCGGTCAAAGGCACGGCCTCGAATGCCACTATGGCGCTCAACCAGCTGTGCGGCCTCAGGTGGGTGGCTTAACCTCTCTGAGTGTCAGCTTCCTCATCTGTAAAAGGGAAATAACAGTTTCTATCTCCTGGAACTGTTTTGAATATGAAAAGAGATGGCGCATGTAAAGCACTGAGCACAGAGAGCAAACCCAGTCTGGATGCTCAGAACTTGAACGTCTCCCAGCCTCGCGTAAGCTTCAGAAAGTGTTCAACTTCTAAGCTCCCCGATACTTGTTCCTTACCAAGCTTGCGAAGTCTCACCCTGTTCAGCCAAAGACTCAACGGGACCCCTATTCAGACCCCTCTCTGTGGCACCCTGCCCCTCAGATCCCAGCTGCCTCGGCCTTCCTGAACTCCAGCCTGTGTCTCATCAGCTCAGTAAGCGCACTGTGCTCTGCTGGGGTTCTCCCCGTCCTCGCGGCGGCCTGATGGACGCCCCAGGCCAGCAGCCAAGGCACTCGCGGGACGCGCCACTTTTGCTTCCCCTCTCCCGGGTCGCAGCCCTGCGCTGCCCGCTCGGAAAACGCTTGTTTCATATATCTTGTCCCGTGTTCTAGTTGTTTACACGGGAGCTGGCAAATCCCTTTGAGGTCCCCCTAGAGCAGCGCACCATAACCTAGACTGGGTGTATCCTCTCTCGGAGACTTGTATCAAACGGTATTTACAGCTGACAAAAGTCAGTGAAAGGTCAAGAGGGTCGTTCCCGTGTGCGGCTCAGGGAACTCCGGATGAGACCCACAACCCAGCACCAAGCCGAGTTTTGCTCCAGGAATCCTTACTATCCGTCCCCTGATAAATGGATGAATAAAATGTGGTATATCCAACAAAAATAAATGAAGTACTGATACATGACATAATATGGATGAGTCTTGAAACTATTATGCAAATGAAAGAAACTAGTCACAAAAGACTACATCTTATATGATTATATGAAATGCCCAGAATAGGCAAATTTATAGGAACAGAATGCAGATTAGCAGTTGCTGGCCGCTGAGTGGGGGATGGGAGTGACTGATTGAGTGCGTGGCTGCTTTGGGGGGACAAGGATGTTCTAAAATTAGATGGTGGTCACCGTTGCCCATCCTTTGGAAGGCTCTAAAAAACATTGAATTACGCATTTTAAGGGGGTTGATTGGATGTGACTTGTATCTCAATAAAGCTGTTTGCTTTTTAAATTGAGAGCGGTTTTCTCCTGTTAGGGAATGGAAAGGGACTGCGTCCACCGGAAGGGAAGTCTCAGCTATTGTACTGGAATGATGCGTGTTTCACACGGTGTTCAATCTTGGACTGAAAAATGTGACCTGAGAGGAGTTCACACAGTTCCTTACGCGATGACTAATGTTGGATGTCTGTCTTAAAACCTGTTTTCGCTCTTCCCTAATTACTCCAACTATGAGAGGATTCTTGCAAAGTTTTGGTTTTACGCCCTCCTTCTAGCTTCCTCTCCTACCTGGAACCTGGTCAGCAGGGAGCATTAGTGAGGGGCCACCCTCTGCAGGGAGAAGGGACACTGGGGCATGCGTGGCCCTCACCCTGATCTCAGAGGCTCCTGAGAACAGGAGGGCAGGGAGCACGTGGCCTCTGAGAACTGTGATGTCACCTTCGTGGCCTCGTGTCCCTGGGCAGACCCGCCGGAATCAGGGCGACAGGACGTTCAGATCCCAGCCACGGGCCGGAGGGTAGGCAGAATCCTTCGGTTGACTGTTTTGTTGTCAAAGATGAAGATGGTTCATTCTGAGCGAGTGCTCTTACCTTCTGTGAAAGAAAAATGTATCGTTCCTCTGCAGGCTTCATGCAGCGTGTCAACTGTACGCTCCTGAGCTTTGCTTACAAACACTAATAGCTAACATTTGTCGAGTACGTCACGTGTGTCCCTCCCATTCTAAGTGCTTTCAGGTATCATCAGCACCTTGTTGACTGATGTTTCTTTCATGCATATATAGGGAATAGAAAGAGACTGCATTTCTTTTTTCCACTATTCTGTGTTTCAGATTAATTTTCAGTAATTCGGGTAGATTTTTTCCATCAGGTCTCATGGTACTAGTGCAGCAGCTGGGTAATGCAGCCCCCACGTGGCGCTCAGCCAGCCAAGCCAGGGGCTCCCCGCGGCTCCCCGCGCCTCCCCGCGCCCAGTGCTCGCGGTGCCAGGGGAGGACGGCGCGCTCACCGGCTGTGCTGTGTGTGCTTTCCCTCTAGGATTATCCATGAAGATGGCTTCTCTGGAGAAGACGTGAAACAGTACAAGCCTGTCGTCTACAGCAACACCATCCAGTCCCTGGCAGCCATCGTCCGGGCCATGGACACTTTGGGCATCGAATATGGTGACAAGGAGAGAAAGGTAGGCCGCTGAGCCCCGGGGCACAGCGAGGACAGACCCCGTCTCAGTACCCCGCTGCGTCGTCATGATAACGCCGGGCTGCCTTGCGGGAACGAGACGAGACTGTGCTGTATGTGAGAGAGGAGGCTAGTCACCCACCTAAGCCAGCACACCGGTCCACACCTGGCCAGGGCCAACAGGGGACTCGCGGGCGGGCAGCCTTCCCCACGATGTCGCCAGCAAAGACAACAGCCACAGAATGCCAGAGCTCATTGTGCAGATGAGAAAGGGTCGGTGACTGTTGTCAGTTGGGATTCCCACAACATCATAATGCACTGGTCCTTGAGCAACTAACTCGAACAGAGAAAATATTTCTTAAATCTGACAGCCCTACCCGGCCACCATCCGTCCCCGCTACCCCCCAGGAGCGCGTTCGTGCCTTGGTTGGGGCGGTGGGAGGGGCAGCCGTGCAGACTGGCTCTCTTCCTTCACACCAAGGCGTGTGTGTTCTGCCTCTCAGGGTGAGTCTCAGAGCCTACGGGGCCCCCCTTCCTCTAGGAAGTGGATGTCCTAGAACAGGAACTGTTTTTCACTTCAGTTTCCAGGCGTCTGATAAGTGGTGGATGGAAAAAGTGTATAAAAGCCTTCTATTTGCAAACATCCGCATTAACTGTGAGACTGAACTTTATACAGCTACACTGGCAAAGCTAAATTAAAGGGAGGCGGGGAAAACAGCCTCAGAGGATTCTACCCAGAAGTGGCTCTTGTCCCCTGGTGGGATCCCGAGTCCCAGCATCCCTCTCCCTGTGACCCGGAGCGTGCAAGGGGAGCAGGTGGGGGCCTCTGAGCGCTTGGGCCCCACGTGGAGCCTGCGGGTGGAGAGCCATGATCTCTGATTACTGTGTGACTTGCCTGTGCACTATACACATATGCTGTCTCTGCTAAAAATCACCTCTGTCGCAGAGGAAAACTATCCTCACCTCCTCTGGGTCAGATAAACCTTCTGTGATAGATAGCTTTAGATGCAAAATTCAGTATTTTATGCACCAAATTCTAATTCCATGGTACAGAGCCGTCCCAGCTCAGGCATTGGGCCCTCTGGGTACAGGGGAATTGGGTGACAGAGTGTGTCCAAAGCCAGCCGGGGGTGGGGACGCTGGGCGCCAGCAGGAGGGCCTGCCCCTGCCCCTCCAGAAGACTGAGCCCAGAAGCCAACTCAGTAGAGGAAGCCCTTCTCCAGGGCACAGGCTTCCCCCCTTAAGAGGGGCACTGCTAGCTCCCCAGTCTTGTTCCCTTTAAACGTTCGCTGAGAACCCCCAGTGAACGGGGCACTGTGCTGGCTGCTGGGGCCGCGGAATGAGCACCGTGGGAGCGGTGCCCGGAGAAAGCAGACGGTCAGCGAATTGCTACTCAGACCATCACAGTAGCCAACATGGTTATAGGGCTTCGCTCATTTTAGCAGTAATGGCCGCAGTGGTAACAAGCAGCTACCATTTATTGAGCACCTGCTAGCTTCCAGACACTGTGCTAAGCACTTTACATGTACTAACTCATTTTAATTAACATTTTAATTAAAGCCCAGAGCGTGAAATGCCTTCCTGATCTTCAGACCTGGGACAGGCCACAGGCCTTTGCTCTCTGTCTACCTTCTAGCAAAAGAGAGAGCACGGAGCCAGAATCTCAGCTACCCAGAAGGCAGTGAGGGCAGAAGGCGCGGGTGTCCACAGCTCACCTCTACACGCACGCACGCACGCACGCACGCACGCACGCATGCACACAAGGCCTTTGAGGTCTCCCAAGAGTGTATGCGCTCACTGGCATGCCCATCCCCAACCAGCATGGCCTTCCCCCAAATCTCCCCCCTGATTATAACCCAGAAGAGTCCGTGTGACTTTGGAATGCTTTTCTTCACTTTTGGAAAACATTCATTGTTCCTGTGGGATTTTTTTTTTTCTCTGTTTTATTACCCTGAATAGAGAGATGATGGCTTGGGAAGGGCTGGGAATGTAATCTATTAAGGGCTATGCTGCGGGGCTCCCGGGGCGTCTGGGGCTGTTCCTCCTGTTTGATTTCCTGGTCCAGAAGCCCCTCGAGTAGGAGGTCAGGGACGGCTCCAGTGGATAAGGGGGCACGAGGGCAGAGAGGACCCCGTGGAGAGCCCGCTGGACCCGGTGGGGTGGGAGCCCAGCTCTGTTACTGCAGGTGGCATTGTGGCAGGCCCCTGACGCACCCCCGGGGCAGCACAGGCTCCTCCGGCACGACCCTCCTGGCTGGCAGAGGCCTCCAGGCACTTGGGCCGCTGCCCCTGTGTTATGTCACCTGTGAGGAGCAGGAAGGAAAGGAAGGTTGATGCAAGACTCCGGCCGAAGTGAGCCAGGCGCCTGGAGCAGGTGTGGATTTGCAGTCTGGGGAGCTGGGCACAGGGACCCCCTTACATCAGTGTGTGAGGGGGAGCAGCTACTTTAGGCTGGGTAGCCGGGGAAGGTTCCCAGAACTCAGAAGGGAACGGATGTTCGTGATAAAACGTGGCCGTGAGGAGGAGCCAGTCGTTGGATAATGAGGGGACAGAGGCCCCAAGCAAACGCCAAGGCCCTGGGCGAGGGGCGAGCGGGTGTGTTGGAGGAGTCACAGCTTCTGTCCAACCCGAACTGCACCCTGGGGCGGGGAGGGGCCCTGGGATTTTGGACACCTCCAGCCCTTCTACGTGCAGCTGGCTGCTTGTGCCTAGATGCCCTGGCCCCAGCGCTGGTTCTCCGACTCCTCTCTTAGCCCCGGGATCTGCAGTTGAGATGTTGGGAGAACTACCCACACTGAGCAGCCCAGCCTGGTGTCCTAGTATCTAAAGAAACGTCCTCCTTCCCTCTCTTGGCTTCCCCACCTCTGCCGCCGTCCCCCCGCCCATCACGGGGTATCTGACGGAGGACAGCCCCACACCCAGCACCTGCTTGGGCCAGCCAGCTTTGCACTCTCCACTCAAAGAAGCATCTAGAAGTTTCCTTGCTGAACCTCATTAGAACAAATTGACCCTCACTTCTCCTGGCAACTGGCTCGCCACCAGCTCCGGCCCCCCGTGCGGGGAGGGCGGGCCGACCTCTCCCTCGGCCTGTCCGTATGGTACTCACTTGAGGCCACATGACTGCAGGAGCCCAGGCCCAAAGAGCCTCCATGTGAGGCAGGCAGCAGGGACCCCGCCCCCCATCATCAGCCTGGGGCTTCCACACCCTGTACCCTGGCCTCACCTGACCACAGACCCCTTCCCAGAGACACCGGGCACTCCAGGCCTCGTCTGAGGCCATAGTGTCCCCTTTAATGTCCTTCTCTCCCTGCTGGAGCTCCTCCCGCTCAGTAGGGACCAGCTCAGGCCCCCTCTCTTCTGGGAAGCCTCCTCCCCCTTCCCCCAAACAGCGAGGCTCAGGGGCATGCTTTCTCTCCTCTGGGTCTGTGGCCCCTGCACTGGTGTGAAGAGCGGTTGTTTGTGTCACTCTTCCCTTAGAGTAGTGACCCTCACACGGTAAGGTCAAAACTGGTGTGGGCAGCTGATGAAAGCCACGGGCCTTCTCGCCAGAACAGCACCTACGTGCCCACGTGGGGAGATTTTGCCTGCAGCTTCAGGGGTCTCTAGAACGCAGAAAGCCCACCCATGGGGCCTAGAATAAGAACTCCTTTATCATTTGAGGCCTTTCTCTGCTCAAGGCCTGTGTCGTTCATCTTTGGGTCACCTCCTCATCCCAACAACCAGCACAGTGCCCAGCACTCAGTAGGTCTTCAAAAATAATCCCTTGAGTGGAATAGCATTTCTTATTCTTCCAGTTCTCAGAGGGAAAAAAAAAAGGAAAAATACCTGTAATTTCATCACTAAATGGATAGATGTTGGTTGAGTGCCTACTATGTGCAGGCTTTGGGCTAAGACCTGTGTAAAGATTCAGAGGTATGTGAGATGGAGCCTTTACGGAGCCGGTCACCTTCTGGGGAAGACAGGACACAGAGGCTGAATGAGCTCGGTCGTTCCACAAGATGGTCAGGGAAAGCTTCTTGGAGGAAGTGAGGCTGAAACTGCCCTCCGAACAGAGGCATGGTAGGTGCGGGCGAGGGAAGGGGCTAGAAGCGGGGCAGTGGGTCGGTGGTGGTCAAACGAGATTTGGTTGACAGAGCAGGCCAGTGGCCAGACAGAGGCTTGGGGTACGGGCCGGGTATGGGAACGCTAGAAGGTCCACTTAGGCCAGGTTGGGTGGGCCTTGCAAAGAGTGTCAAGGACTTTGGGTTTTATCCTATGGGCAGTAGGCAGCCACCGATAAATTCTGAGCTGGGAGGGACAGATAAAAGCGAGCGTGGGAACTCAGCCGTGGTGGCGTGTGCGGGACAGACCAGTGCGGGAAGGGACTGAGCGGGGAGGCAGGTAGGAAGCTGCGATAATTGCCCACGCGTCAGGGTCTCGATGGGGTCGGAAGTGAGGGCAGCGACGTGGTGTGGTGACCAAAGAAAACAGGACTGGTGACTGGCTGCTGGGGCCGAAGGCTAAGGATCAGGAAACAGGGACTGTGGTGGGACCCGCCTGGATGACCGCGGACAAGGCCAACCCTCAGGCAGAAAGTCAGCAGATGGGGCCAGATATGGTGCGTGTGCCTTCAGCCCAGCAGGTTTCCAGGTGGGGGCGGCCCCCAGAGAGATGGACTCAGAAATGAAGCGTCCAGTGTTCATGTTCCCAGGCCCGTTTCAAACAACTTATGTGAATTAAATTATTGACACTCACAAGTCCCGGTGCAGTGGGTGCTATTGTTGTTCCCATTTTACAAGTGAAGAAAAATGAGGCGCAGCTACGCTAAGTGACTTGCCCAAGGTCATGCAGTACAAAATATGTGCATATATAGTATAGGAACTGAACCCTAATGAAGTGTAATCCATGTGGCTCAGGTCCAGAGCGGAGTCCCATTTACATGGACACCATACAATCAGGCAAAACATTAAATCCTTAAAAGAATCCCATATTTTCCCATAAGTCTCTCTAAAAATTTGAAAAGGGA